TTCGTTTCCCAGAGTTAGGAGTCTCTCATGTTCTGTCTCCCTTTTTGATATTTCCCACTTATTTTTTCTCCTTCCCCCTTTATTCCCTTTCACTATTTTTTATATTCCCCAAATGAATGAGACCATATAATGTTTGTCCTTCTCCGATTGACTTTCAAAAGAAGAACCGGGGTCAGGACCAAAAAACGACCATGGAACCATGAACTAGAAGGTTAAAAAAAAGTCCAAATATATCAATGATCACAATAAGAGTGAGTTTCTTAAATTCCCCTGTTGAAGTAATGGATTTTTCAGAACACATTAAAATAAAAAGTTAAGCTAAATACATAGCATGCTTAAACAAAGGGCACAGGAAGGTTGAAAACATAGGCATTTAAATATACTAGAAAAATAATAAAAGAAAATAGATGTTAAAATGCTAATATCAGACAAAAGAAAACTAAAGATGAGAACCATTAATTAAAAGGAACAAATATGTTTTTTTTCCATTATATTCAATTCACCAAGAAGATATGACAATTATGAATTTAACGTATTAATATAGGGCAGCTATATGCATGAAATAAAAACAAAGAAATAAAAAGAGGGTGAACAAACCCAGAGTCATAGTCAAGAACCATATTACAGCCATCTCAGAAGTTATCATATCAAAACAAATAGAAATATCAAATACTCAAATATCTCTCATGGGACATTTATAAAGAAAAACAACGTACTTTTAAAAAGCAGAAATAACATCAACATAAAAAGGAATTTTAAAAGGGTTCAATTTGCAAATTAAAAGATATTTTCCTAGATAACTTTTGGATTAAGTAGAAAATAAAAGTAGAAGTGTAAAAATTATTGAAAAGTGAATGGTAATGAGAGCACTCCATATATCAAAACCTGTGGGATACAGCTAGAGTGGACTTAGATAAAAAAAAAAAAAACAGTGTTTTGGCCATTTCCCTGAGCCTTCAGACTTCCTACACTAGAACTGTACCATTCAATACAATGGCTACTATACACATGTGACTTGTTATGTTTAAACAATTAAAATAAAAAATTCAGTTATCTAGTTGCACTGGCCACATTTCAAGTGCTCAATAACCACAGCTGGTTAGAAGTTACCATATTGGCAGGACAGATTATAAAAAATCCCCATCCTTGCAGAAAGTTCTCTTCGGTAGTGCTTCTTTAGAGTTTGCCAGGGAAATTTCAATATGTCTACTTCACTGAGCGTAAGCTACCATGAAGTCCAGCTTTCAATCAGCCAATCTAGCAGACTACTTACACCATCTCCAGATGTTCAAGCTATATATTAAACCTAGAATCTCAGGAAAGTAAACTCAGCCTCACCTGTTTCCCAGTCCCATCCCAGTCCTACTTCTTCTCCTACAAGTGCATTAGATTCAGCATTAGAGACTGGTGGGAAAAGCACTTGATTGACCATGCCACTCTAGAAACCATATACCACCCTGGTTTCTTAGCTGTATGAGCCCTATAATGATAAGAAATGAAGGATTCCTTGAAAATTGGTATAAAGTCTTTTGAAAGAATCTGAACTAGAACCTTCCCTGACTTACTGGCAGTTTTCTAGAACATATCTAGGGATGATTCTAATTAAACTTGAACCTCCCTCATGAACAACAACTGTCACTGAAATCTTCTAAAATGCACTCTGTACACCACTCAGCATGCCATTCTCTAATTCTAATTAATTCTGTAATTATTGTATATTTTCTATGTGTGTGTGTGTATCTGTGGGTACTACATAATTAATTAATTAATCATAAGCTTGATGAGGACAAGATTATCCCACAGTATTTAGTAAATTCATGTTCACTAACTTCCTGAGGATATTCTCGCTTTACTCTGGCATTTCGTACCAGACAAGTGGCAGTGATTGTGCCAGTGGCCCCTTGAGAATGGGGGTGGGAGGGCAGGTCTGAGGGGCATCTCAGTGTGGAACAGCCAGGACATGAAGGAACTCCATGGGCTCTTATGGTCAGTTGGAGTTTCCCTCATGAAACAGCTGTCCAGGCACTCGTCCACAGACTCTGGAGCTGTCTGCCAGTTCTGCTAATCATTCACCACCTTTGGCTTCCTTCTTGGCTACTTGTGGGCAGTGTCTGGGTTGGGAAGAGTGATTCCTATCTTCACAGCCTGAGATCAGGATGTTCATGTTTTAATGAACAACATGCAGTGCTGGGGTCTAGCCAGGGTGGGGGGCCTGAGCATCCCAGATGAGACCTTAAATGGAGCTACTTGTCCTCATATGTGCCACTTTCAACCTCGCATTGCTGTTGGGTCAGTGCTGCTAATTTCTCTCTTCCCCTGACCACTGCTTCACAGCAGCCAGGAGTGGCCAAACATGGAGATAAATGTGGTGGTCAGGAGATGAATGGCATCTGCTTGTTCCTCAATGTCTACTATGTTCATTAAACCCACAGCATGGAGGTGCTGGAGATAACATTACTAGTGACGCCAAACAGTCTTTTTCTGATACTTGCAGTCCATTCTAGGTAGAACTGGGCTCCTCAGAAACACACACTGGTTCTTTGCTGATGGTTAATAGTGGAGCAATGGGCTCTGCTGTACTGAGACCTAGTTCCCTCAGGGCAGCTCAATGATTTCCCAGGACAAGACAAGAACCACAGAGAGTACCAGAGATTTTGCCTCCCTATCCTACTCTATTACAATGTCATACTCTTGGCTTCCTTCTGTACCTTCTCTCCCTGAGAATTCAGCTCCTTGAGGTTTCCTGGGTGTTTTGACCACTAGATAAAAAGGAAAAATTTGGGGGTGACAAAACACTCCTTTCTATGCAAAATCCCCAAATGTTTCCCCTCTCCCCTGTTCCCCATCTGCTCTCTCTCTCTCTCTCTCTCTCTCTCTCTCTCTCTCTCTCTCTCCCCCTCAAGTTAGAGAACATAGATGCCACAGTTCTTTCTTTTCTTCAAGAAGCCAATTAGAGGGGAACTGGGACTGTGATCCTGGTCTCTTAATTTTTAGTCATTTCCCCCCAAAAGCTAGGATTTTACAGAAAAGTGTTAACAGTAGTTATCATCAGGTTTGGAACTGCAGGTGCTTATTTTTCTCTTATTTTGTTTATGAATTTGTCTAATTTTTTCTATAAAAGCTGTGTGTTAGTTCTGCATTTGGTTGGGTATTACAGCTACAATAGCAAACAGATGTGAAAATTTCCATTGCTCAAGAAAAACAGTTCATTCCTTGTTTATATATAGTTAAAAAATGAGTGTTCCTGAACAACATATTGGTTTCCTAGGAGGAGTAATCCAGGCAACCTGTTCTTTCCATCCTAGGGCTCCTCCATTCTCCACATATATTAAGCTGCGAGATTCTGTATAAAGCCAGAGAAAGGAAAATAACATGGAAGAGTATGTGAGGGAGGATCTTATAGCTGAGACCAGGAAGTAATCTGTATCATTTCCATTTATACCTCATTGTCTCGAAGTCAGTTGCAAGGCTACATCTAACTGCAAGGTAGAGTGCAAAATGTAGTTTATCAGTGCACAAAGGAAAAAAAAAGGAAATGAATAGAGTGAATTGCTGGCCAATGTATGCCACACTTGTGTAAGAAGGGAAAGTCGAAATTAAAATGGAATAAGGAATTCAAGTCCCTCTGTAAAGCAATCTTCATGTCTCTTTCATACAGCACTTTCACATCCAAATCCTCATTCTCCCACTATCAAGAAATGGCCTTCATCCTCAAGGGCATGGACAGATTGGATTTTTTTTTCTGATATTAAGTGGGTGTAGGAAAGAGAGATAATAAGTGGTGAGGGCTCAGAGTCAGTGCTGTGACCTGGGTGTAAACACTCCTCCACCCCGCTGGGGGTAATATCAGCATACAGATGCTGCCTCTCTGCCCCAAAGCATTGCTCTACCCTGAGGACAAATGATTATGCAGAAGACTGTGATGTCAGCACCCTTCATGTTGAATGATGAACTTCCTCCTCCTCCACATACCTATCACTCTCAGAGTAACTCCTATTCCATGTACCTCCTGCAATAAACCCAGAACACTTGTGTGCCAAGGGCCTGCCTCACATTCCCTGTACCTTGTTCTCTACCATCCCCTCTAAATGAAGACTCTTGCCCTAGATGCATTGCCTCAGATCAACTGGCTGTCATCTACTGCCTAGGACTTATTCTACCTATATATATTAGACACATAGCAAATGATAATTAGAAAATAAAGTTGATGAGCTAATTCACATGAAATATAAGTAGCTCACTGAATCTACCTGTCTAAACATATCTACATTTTAACAAATCACACCTTAACATCCCAAAATTGATCTCAAAAAGTGGCTTTTCAAGTTTATCGATTACTCACGAGAAAGAGATTTAGGGACAGGAGGGGTTTTCTTGGTAGTCCCCTAAGTATGTTACAGAAAAATGAAGAGGCTAGATAGATGCTCAGTGTGTGTATATGTGAGCATATCCCAAAATGTTTATAAACTTCCATATCTGGGAATAATATATTTGCTTTTAAAATTTATGGCCAAAGATGTGAGTATGGGTTCTTAAAAGATGAACAAATTTTGGTGAGTAAGTCAGACCTTTTCTGGGTAATCTCCAGTTCATGTACCTCTCTACTGCTCCTCTAAACACTAGACAGGAGCAGAAGAAAGTAAGCTCTAGGAGAGAAGGACAGTGTGACCAGAAGCATCTCAAAAGTCCAAAAACAGAGCTCATGAGAACACACATTCTTATAGGTGTATACTAGAAAATATTAAATATTCATCTTTTTTTTTTGGCAGAAGTCAGCTTGTTCCCAGTGTCCTAGAATGGAATGGAACAATGAGACTCACATCACCAAAAGTATAGGCTCCTGTCCAGAACTTTGCATTCTCTCTGGGAGCAGTGGGCAGAGGGAGATGATAAAAGTAGGTAGAAGTTAGCCGAAAACTTGAAGGGCCCTCAACGGAGAAGAGAGCAGAGAGACCCTGAGTTTTGATCCTCACCCTGTAGTAAAACAGACCTGTAATTTCATGGGAAAGTTTATAGGTCATTTATACCCAGGGCTATATCTTTTCTCTTATGGACTGTATCAGGCCGCAGTGGTCTCTAAGGCCATGATAGTCAGTGACTCACTCCTCTATCTTTCATGCCCCCCCAGGAATAAGGGAAGATGGGCCAGGCTGTGGAGAATATCCTACGGAGGTTTGCTGAAGATGGTGACTGGCTCCATCTTAACAGTTTATGTGGTCTTCTGTCTTGATGATAGGATGGTGCTCATGGACAAGAAGTACCCACCGAGATTTCTGTACCCCAAAGAGTGGCAGCATCTCACCATGTTCATCCTCCTCACCCTCAATGGCTGTGTAGATGTCATGAGCAGGAATTTGCTGCCTCAGAGGTGTGTGCTTCTAGAAAAAGGTACCCTGGTCCTGACCTTCTACGTGCTCCTGCTCTTGTTGGTATCACATGTCCAGGACACAACAGGGATAGAGCTTCAGATTCATTATCTGCTCATCTTGGTGGTGTTCCTATTGATGCTGGTGTTGACTATAGAGCTGTGGACTCCCGACACATTTCAACTCTTGCTGATTGAGGCTTTTCTGTTTCTGATGATGGGCTCTTGGCTGATGCAGGCTGGCTTTGTTCTGTACAGGCCAGTCACTGGCTACCCATGGCAGGATGATGACATCAGTGACATCATGTTTGTCACCACCTTCTTCTGTTGGCATGTGATGATCAATGCCTTGTGTCTGCTGGGAATCTATGGCCTCTCTGCCCTCTGGCATCGTTGTCACTGCCCCAGCTTGAAGCTGATGGGATCCAAAGAAGCTCCATATCACAAGGGCACAGTAGGACCCCTTTACAAATTGCTGCAGGAAGTGGAGCAGTCAGAGAAAGATGAGCAGGCTCTTCTCCTTTCAAAAAGCTCTTCCTGACACAGGGCCTAGAATGCCTGGCACACTGTCCACCCATCTGCCTCCTTGTGGGTTCTCTCAGATATGGGCACTGCACCCTTTTTGGTCTCCAGTGAAGGTAATGGCCATGAAGGAGAGCAGCTGATCTCCATCTACTGGTACATCTCCTCCCCTTGAATGTCTAATTGCTGAGGAGATGAGGAGAGAGGAGCCTGAGAAAGAGTTGCTGATGGGACTCATGGAGCAGTGGGGAGGGCACCAGGGTGGGAAGGTAAGGGTGCAAGAAGAGCTATGGGGGGCAGAAGATGTAATAGAAGGGAGGCCTTCAAAGAGAGAGCAGAGTCCAGCAGTTATGCCATCACCAGCTACTTCTCCAGGTTTTACTTAAGGAATAAAGACTTCTCACCAATCAAAACTGCAATGTTGGGTATTTCTATTTTCCAACTAAAGGGACAACACCGTGTGGAACAGATGCAGTACAATTCACTTATCTCACCTGGTTGAAGTGATAAGAATCTCATGTATACTTTTAAATTTGGGTAGATTCATATTTCAGGTTTCATATAGACAGTGAGAATCAGTACTTCCATATCACAATTATTCAAGTTTCCATAAGCCAAATTTTCATTAAATGCCATCACATGTCTTATCCCTGACTTCTAATCTAGCCAAAGCAAGGTGCTTACTTGTTTACCACCAGTCCCACCAGCCATCTACTAGGTTATAGTTTATTATATGCTATACTTGTGCCTTTGCCAAATAATATGGTGTATGATTTAGAAAAAGTTACTGCCAGTCACATATTTAGTACACAGAGTTATTTTATACTTAGCATTAAATCTCCTTGCACTGCTACCACCAAAAATTCCATCTCCAGAGAAATTTCTTATGCTCCTTTGACCTGGAACTCCAAGAACTCATCTAATTCTGCTTTGCTATTTTTCCCAGGCAGCTGATACATTCAGTTGTGTCCTGTTTCTCATGGGGAAGTTTTGTCTCACAGAAAGGTAGGCTCCTTAGGAGTGGAAAATTTGTCATATACTAGTTACTTAATTTGCTTTGCAAATATATCAGGATATAACATTGTCCTCTACATGGTTGATGCTTAATAAAGTTTCACTTGCATCTAGAGCCTCTCTGGCTCTTTGGGATTTGGAGACGCTGATGGGCCCCTGAACTTCTGACTAGGGCTTATATTTCTAGGAACAGGTCAGAGCAGAGCCTGAGACAACATGTTTCTTTGAGTATTTCTAATCCTTCTTGTTTCTCCTGTTATACCTAACTCCTGAGTCCTTTGCCATTGTTTTTTTTTTTTGGGGGGGGGGTCTTCCAATTTATTATTGCCATTTTAAATATAATCATGATAAGTGATGAAGAAATACAGAAAACACCTCATTGTTCTTAACAAGTTATGTGTGCCTCAGTTCTAAACTGCTAAGGAAATCTTTAATAGTTAAGTGAATTTCTCCTAACATAATACCATAAAACATATCTTGCAGGGATCCCTGGGTGGCGCAGCGGTTTGGCGCCTGCCTTTGGCCCAGGGCGCGATTCTGGAGACCCGGGATCGAATCCCACGTCGGGCTCCCGGTGCATGGAGCCTGCTTCTCCCTCTGCCTGTGTCTCTGCCTCTCTCTCTCTCTGTGACTATCGTAAATAAATAAATAAATAAAAAACCTTTAAAAAAAAAAAAAAACATATCTTGCAAGTAACATACCTGTGTTTACAGAAACACAAATTAAAGGTACTTCCAATCAAAAACATTCTCCATGTGATTTTTTTTAAAGAGATTTTTTTTTTATGATAGTCACAGAGAGAGAGAGAGAGAGAGGCAGAGACACAGGCAGAGGGAGAAGCAGGCTCCATGTACTGGGAGCCCGATGTGGGATTCAATCCCGGGTCTCCGGGATCGCGCCCTGGGCCAAAGGCAGGCGCCAAACTGCTGCGCCACCCAGGGATCCCCTCTCCATGTGATTTTAATGGAATTCAGCAAACCTATTCTAAAATATATCTGGGAAAGAAACATAGAGAAGAGCCTAGGCCTTTTTTTTCCTAGAAGAAAACAATGAGGAATAAACTGTTTTACTAGCTTTTATAATACATTATAAGTATTCAATAATTATAAACCGCGGTATAGGAGCAAGCAAGTATCATTATAGAACCTTAAATCAACATAGTGTCATGTAACAGAGACTCCAGAAACAGAAATATGTAGTGGGAGAGTTAAATACATGTTAAGAATGGGCTCTTCAAATAATGTGAGGAATAACTGGCTCTCTCCACTTGGAAAAACAAAACAAAACAAGCAACAATCAGTAGCTTAAGTTTCTACCTCATAAACACACACACAAAAAGAATTATAGATGGCCTGAAAAATTAAACATGAGCAACAAGAGTATAAAAATTTTTGAAGGGCTTGAAGGGCATTTTATAATAAGAGATATGAAAATTTTTCTTGAGAAAAATAAACTCTGAAAAAATTACGCATTTTATTTCCTATTACTAAAAGATGTAAGAAAAAGATAAAAGGGACACTGTGAAGAGTATTTGCAACATATTAAATAGACAAAAAACACAATTCAATACCCAGAATATATAGAGGTGTTCAAACATTAACAAAAAAGCAACCTACTATAAAAAAATGGGCAGAAGATAGAAATTACTATGTCTCAGAATAAATGGCTAACAAACATTTTTTTAAATTGTTAACCTAACTAATTTTAAGAAAAAGAGGATTTTTTTAAAAGGATCTTTTTTTCACTGTCAGGTTGTCAAAAATCATCAAAAGTATTAAACAATACTATCCATTGCTGGATAACATCATACACTGTCTACATTTCCTTGAAGTCAGTCTAGCAGAGTGTGCCAGAATTTAGAGTGGACATAGTCTTTAAACAAACAATTCCACCTCTTGCTGTTTGCAGTGGACATCTGACATAGAAGCCTAACACCATCTTTGAAAAAGACTCCCAACATTTTGAACAATTTCCACATTATCAGGCCTGTCTTTTTGGTAGATTTTTATGTTTAATCCCTAGCCTCCCCTGTAGCTAGCTAGATTTCAGGCATGTGACCAGGTAGACAACCCACTTAAGACTTCAACTCACAAGTGAGTAATGTAAGGAAATCATCTGTGCATGGAGCTTCTATTCTGTAGAAGAGTAGTGGCAAAGACAGGAACTTATATGCATCATTATGCTGGTCTGCCCTGTAGTTCTGGGGTCAATGCCAAAAGCAGCAACCTAAGCCCATTTCAGTAGTGTGATTCTGGGCATTGGTCCTTTATACTTAACCTGCAATCTTTTTCTCCAGCCAACCTAATGATTATGTGAACGAACATAACCTATTAAATAAATTCTTTCTCAGGTTAGCCAGAATTGTCTGTAGCTAGGGACTCTGATGCAGTATCCATTCTAAAAATACTCACATCTATACAAAGAACATATACAAAAATGATCACTGAAGCATTGTTTTTCTACCAGGAACTTTAAATAATAAACTTTCACCAGTAGGGAAATGGTTAAATAAATTCTGGAGTACAATACAGGAATTAAAAAGAACAGGGGACATCTGTATGTCGTGACATCAAGATATCCAAGATGAAGTAAAAAAGACTAACTCCAAAAAATATGGGGTCTATGGTCCAGATTTTGGAGACAGGTATGTTCTTGTCAACCTCAGAAGGTCTTAATTTTTCTCCTTACACTTTCAAGAATGGTCAGGACCACAGGGCAATCAGGAGGGATGGTATCCTGATGGTGTAGTGACTCATTTCACTTAACATATCTCATAGAAAACTCTATATCCATTTGGATACTAATCCAATTGGATTTTAACCTATATAACTGATGTGACCATATAAAATTTATCATTCAAACCTGGACAACTGAGAAAGAAAAGGCAAAATTAAGATTTGCCCTGGGACAACAGGTAAAAACCAAACTGCCACAGACACATTGGGATTTATGGTTACCCTACCTAAAAGCTAAAAAGAGATGTACTTCAGATTGCCCCTCTAAATCCACCTTTTACATCCATCCTCCTCTCTCAGGAGACTGCCCAGGTCTATAGCATATCACTGAGCAACTTATCCTCTGGCTTCAGGCAACATCTGGCCAATGACAAGCCCCAGGAAAATGATGGATAAGAGTGAGATTAGAGTTTAATAAAAACTTTTAGCTCCTACTTTTCTGGGGTCACCTCAGACTGGCAGTAACCTGCCCCCCATCACACCATTGGTATCAATCTCCCAAGCTACCACAACAAATTACTACAAACTTAGTGGCTTAAAACAGAAATCTACTCTTCCACAGTTCTGGATGCCACAAGTCCAAAATCAAAGTATTGATTCCTTCTGGAAGCTCTCAGGAAGAATCTGTCCCATGTGTCTGCCCTAGCTTCTGATGACTGCTGGCATTCCTTGGCTTGCAGATATCACTCCATTTTCTTCTTCCATATTCACATTGTCTTCTCCTTTATGTGCTTCTGTCTCAAACATTCCTTAGATTTTCTCAGAAGGTTACCTATCATTGGATTTAGAGCCTACCCTAAAACCAAGATGATTTCATCTCAGGATCCTTAATTATATCTGCAAAGACTCTTTTGTCAAATAAGGTCACAGGTTCTGGGTTTAGGACTTGGAAATATCTTTTTACAGGCCACTATTCAACCCACTACACTATCCTTGCATATTACAGAACTTCTCCTGTTCTATGTCCCTTGGGCCTAGAGTTAATAACAGCTCCGACTGTTGCTCAGCTATCTCTGTGGTCTCCTTCCATCCTGCTGACAACTGCATAGGAAGTACCTTTATTAAACCAACCTTGAACTATCCTGAATTGTGTTGCCATCTATTTCTTATTGTGACACTATCTGAAACACCAGTGGAACAATTGCACAGGAGGCCAGAATCCTTAAATACAATTCAACCCCAGATATCTGGAATAGTGACAAGAGAAAAACTACAACTGAATTTCACAAATGTGAATATACAATGGAGACTAATTTGTAAATGTGGGTGA